CACAAGATGGCCACCACATGATGGCCAGCAGAGGCGGCCAGTTGGGAGGGGCCAGGTCTGCAAGGGAGGGCAGTTGTGGACAATCAGGCCAGCAGGGGAGGGCAGTTGGGAGGGACCAGGCCTGCAAGGGAGGGCAGTTGGGGGCGATCAAGCCTGCAGGGGAGGGAAGTTAGGGGTGTCCAGACTGGCAGAGGAGGGAAGTTGGGGGCAAAGGGGCCTGTTGGGAAGGGCAGTTGGGGGGGATCCAGGCTTACAGGGGAGAGTAGTTGGGGGGGTGATCATGCCTGCAGGGGAGGGCAGTTAGGGCAAACAGACTGACAGGGAAGCAGTTAGGCATCAATCAGGTTGGCAGGGGAGTGTTTAGGGGGTGATCAGGCTGGCAGGCAGGAGAGCAGTTGAAAGCCAGCAGTCCTGGTTTGTGAGAGGAATGTCTGACTGCCTGTTTATAGGTCCAATCCTATCGGGATCGGGCCTAAATGGGCAGTCAGACATCCCTCGAGGGGTCCCATATTGGAGAGGGTTCAGGCTGGGCTGAGGGACACACCTCCCCCCCATGCACAAATTTTGTGCACAGGGCCTCTTGTAATAATAATAATAATAGTAATAATAATAATATTTTAGTGTGCCAAGAATGTAGGAGCCAAGTAGAAAGTATAATCTGAGTTTTTAAATACTCAAAATAATAAGTCCTAAGGGAACACCCATCATCCTAAGAAAGAACTGGGTATTCTAGACAGCATCATGACAATATTTTTTATTTGGAAGAAAGCAGATATGTTTCTGGAGGGAATTCAGTTTAAGAGTCTGAATAAGATCATGCAGATAGAGAATGTACAATTAGTATAATGATAGCCCAAACTGGAACCAATAAAACACTAACATTTAAGGAGTAAGTTAGAGGAAGGAAGGAAAGGATAATGGGAGGGAGGGACAAAAAAAAGAAAACAAAAATCCGAAAGGAGAAAGGAAAAGAGGAATATGAGGAAAATTATGTCATGGGAGCCAAGAGAGTTTTAAGGAAGAAATTTTTATCAGATTGAAATATAAAACATAGGCCTAAAAGATGATTATTAACAAATGGCCATTGGATTTGGTGATCTAGTATTAATTGATGATCTTAACAAAAATCTCATGTAAGGCAAACTGCTGTAAAATGGGGAGCATCTGAGAAATAAAGAGGTGGAGATAGAAGCCATCACTACAAGAGGTTAAGATGAAGAGCAAAAAGGGGGAGAGCACTGCTGCCTAAGAAATACTGTGTCAAGAGAGAATCAGGAAAAGGAGAGCTGTTTCCAGTTCTATCATCATTAGATACTAAAGTTCTACCACTCATTCTGAGAGAACAGTCTGGCTCACAGACAAAAAGTAATATTACATGATAACTAACAAAAGTTGAGAATTCCAATTACTTAGCAAGAACAGCAAAATTAAACTGTGCCTTAGGATTATCTATTTTAAAATAATAACATTGATAATATTCAAAAAGATTAGGCCCTGGCTCGGCCACTCAGTAGTTGTGTAACTTTGGACTAATTACTTTGTCCTTTGCCTCTCAATTTCCTCATCTACAAAGTGGGAATAACAGTACTTATAGATGTGGTAAGAATTATAATAAGATGCAGCATACAAAATGCTAACTTGGTGCTAGCTTAATCCCTGTTGGTACCAGAGAATCAATTTAGTGTAGGACCTCAAATTTGTCATTCATTATCTATATATATAAAAGCCTAAGTGACTAAATGACCGAATGACCAGTTGCTATGACGCGCACTGACCACCAGAGGGCAGACGCTCAATGCAGGAGCTGCCCCTGGTGGTCAGTGCTCCCAAAGCAGGAGCGCTGCTCAGCTGATAGATGGGCGCCACTGAGCCAAGCCGGTTTAGGCAGGCTCATGGCTGGTGAGGGCTGCTGTGGCAGCGCAAGTTTCTCCTGCTTTTGAGGCAGCACTACCGAGCTGGCAGTGGTAGGTGCCGCAGGGCAAGGATGAGCAGGAGCAGCACAGCACCCAGCCTGGCTTGGGCTCCTCCCCGGCCACCTGCTGCTTCGTGAACTACTACATCCTCCGAGGGGTACCCGATTGCAAGAGGACACAGGCCTGGCTGAGGGACCCCAATAGTGCACAAATCCGCTAGTTTAGTATAGCAGACAAAAACTACATAGTGCATAAAGAACTTCACTTTTTTAAAAATATATATATTTTATTGATTTTGTACAGAGAGGAAGGGAGAGAGATAGAGTTAGAAACATCAATGAGAGTGAGTCATCGATCAGCTGCCTCCTGCACATCCCCCACCGGGGATATGCCCGCAACCAAGGTACATGCCCTTGACTAGAATCGAACCCGGGACCTTTCAGTCCCCAAGCCGACGCTCTATCCATTGAGCCAAACCGGTCCCGGCAAGAACTTCAATTTTTAAGAGGCATATTTCATTGTGCACTTATGACAAATCCTCATGGCATTCTGATTTACAGGTTCATAATTAGCTCCAATAAATAGGTCACCATTCATCCACTTAAGGAAAAAAAACAATAAGTACACTGTAAACACTTTACCCTAATATATTTGCATATATCTTATAAATCAGTAAAAGGAAAAACAAAAACTCAATTCTAATTTCAAATTCAAAAGAATCTTTCTCTTCTATGGCACTGAGGTACAGTTCTCATTAATTTCTATAACAAAGTATACAGTGCAGGGTCTTGTTCATCTCTGTGTCAAGAATGAATTAAACATAACTCTGAATAGTAATAAGTGTTGTATGTTGTCTCCCTTTTTAATTTACATGTGCAGTAATCTTTAATGATATAGCATGCAACTCTTCCAGCCAATCCAAGGAGACAAAAAGATTCAATTATTTTCCAGATCCATAAGCAGTTACATACTTCCTTATATATCAGAATTTCATTACTGCCTGGAACAGATAAAAAGACAGCATATAGTAAAATATCTTAGGATCAATAGTCAATGAGTCCAAAAATATGGGAGAAATGCATAAAAATACATTTCATAATATATAGCCTCATTACTGCTAATACCATCATCTTTAAAACAAACAAAAAAACAACTACTTAAAAAACAAGGAGTAAAATCTTCGATAAAGCTCTGTATTAAAATAATAAAAGTATAGTTCTAGAATTAAGATGCCATCAAATGATTTGAATTGACATGATAATTTTAAAGAAAAACATCAAATACGTAGTTTGGTAGTTATAGTAGATGTACATGATGGACAAATTTATATTCAGAAATTCATATACAGATCTTTAAATCAGTACAATAGTTTCTAGTAAAAATCTTTAATACTTCCTTACCCCCCCCCCTCCACATATAAGTCTAATTAGCAAAAACATTATTTCTTGGATAAATTAACCCAACTGCAAATGAGTATACACTTAAACACCCTCAGTGCACACTCTCATTGTCTTTATTTTTATTCAGCTCTATACATCAAGCACAATAGACATCAGATTGCTAAAAGCACCAGGAAGCACAGCAATGAGAATATAGAACTGACATTTGACAGATATTAAGCAATTAAAGCTAACAAGTATGGCTTTTAATGTTAAATTAAAAAATAATAATTTGTAACCCCACAGTAAGAAAGATGCAATCTTTTTTCTCTGTTTAGTAAAATTCTCATTATATAAAACTGAAACAAAGAAATAAACCTTTTTTCCTACCCTGGAGTACTATATAATACCTGAAAATCACAATATTAGTACTGGAACACTGAAAAAAAATAAAGTGCCACGTTAAAGATAAAGTAAACAACATTCTCAGGTGTAACCCACATAAAACCCACTTCACATCCTAAGGTAACCTGGCAGTTGTTCTGGTATTGTAAATGGTTAATAAAAAGTCTCAGTTAATTAAAATAGTATAACTTAAAAAAAAATCTTTTCACCCACTCAGGGTAAGTAAAAATTTATTATTAGGGGTAAGATGACATTACATGTTGAAGTGAAGGGTAGAGTGGCAGAGTAAAAAAGATGTCTTTGTTATCCTCCCCAAAATAATTCTGCTTGGGTTGGAATAGTCAGTACAGAGAATGAAGGAGTTACCCAGGTCTGGCTTGAACATCCTGCTTGTACCAATCACTGTCTAGCTACTGCTGCTCCTTTTGTGGCAGAGTTAGACCCTTACAAAGAAGTGATTCTTCGGTTGAACCAGCAGCAACCTAGACTCCATGTGCAATAAGAAACACTTGAATGAATTTGACTCCTGGTAGCAAGTCAATGAAAATATCAAGACTAACAACAATCAGTGTTACATGAAAATGCAAACATTGCTGACTACCAGTATAAACACCAATTTGCATATTCCTGAACATCCACTTTTCTTCCTCTTTGGATCACATGGAGCTAAACGTTTGAAACAATGAAAGCACCTTAAAATGTAAACTTCTACGTAGCTCACACACACCCCACCTCTCACTTTGGATAGCTAAAGTTAAACACAAGGGAGAAAACCCATTATGAAGTCCAGGCACTTCCCCTGGGTTTCTTTTATTTTTCCTATTGGTGTCAGTCAAGAACTGTTTCACTTCTCTACTGATGGGGTGCTTTTAGGACAAAACCCACCCAGAGCCAAGTTCATTTTGAAAACTGGGGCCTGTTTATCCGCACCTCGCCCCGCCCCCCCTGCAGGTACAAGTTTCTCCCCGGCAGGGGTACCAATCCAGACAGACAAACTAAGGAGAAATTCACTAAATCCCCAAGCCTAATGGCCATCAGGGCCAGCAGCATCCTTCCTCCTTGGGCTCGGGATTCCCCGAAAGGAAAGGGGGCGGAGGTTGTGTCCCCGGAGGCGGCCGCCGGACCCGGCGGAGGCCCCGGAGCCGCAGCAGGAAAGTGACGCGGCGGGCGGGCACCTGTGGGGCCACCGGCCCGGCCCCGCCCCCGGGGCTGCGGCGGGAACCGCGGCCCGAAGCCCCCACACCCGCCCGGAACCCCGCGCCGGGCCTCCCCCCCCCCCCCCCCGGGCCGGCATGGGACTCACCGTCCACGGTTTTCTTCTTGAAGAAGGACGCCATGGTCAGGGACCGCTCCCAGGCGGCCCGGTTCGGCCCGGTTCGGCCCGGTCCGGGCGAGGACGGGGAGACGACAGGCCCCGGGAGGGCTCGGGCAGGCGAGGCCGAGGGCGCGGAGGAGAGGGCAGGGTCTCCCGGCAGGACCCGCAGAGGGCGGCGTCCGCGATGCCTCCCGCAGCCGCGCTCCGGCGCTCAGGTGACTGCGAACTGAGACACTTTTTGGAGAAGTCACTTCGGGCGGCGCCTGCGCGCTGCGCGCCGCGAGCCGCGCCTGCGCACTGAGGCGCCTGAAGCCGCTGCCCTCACCGCCGCTGCCACCCGGGCCGCCCGCGTTCGGGTCCGGGCGCCGCGGCGCCGCAGGAGCTGGCGGGGGTGGCTGGTCGTGACGGCCGCGGGCTGCGCGGGGGCCTCCTTGTATGCGGGTTCCGTGCCGAGGGCTGGCAGAGATGAGCCTTGCTCAGCCCCTTCCCCTTGGCCGGGGGAAGCGGGAAGCGGGGGTCCCCGCCGTCCTAGGACCAGGGTGGGTAGCCGGGAGCTGGTGGATGGACAGTCCGTCCGCAGCTGTCAGTGTCCGTGGGCGCCAAGAGCAGGGTGCACGCCCTCCCCCGCGGGGTGGGTCCCTGGGTGCCCGCCCTTTTCCGCGGGATGGGTCCCCGGGTGCGCGCCCTCTCCCGCGGGGTGAGTCTCGGGGTGCCCGCCCTCTCTCAGGGGGTGAGTCCCGGGGTGCGCGCCCTCCCCTGCGGATTGGGTCCCGGGGTGCGCGCCCTCCCCTGCGGATTGGGTCCCGGGGTGCGCGCCCTCCCCCGCGGATTGAGTCCCGGGGTGCACGCCCTCCCCTGCGGAATGGGTCCCGGGGTGCGCGCCCTCCCTCGCGGATTGAGTCCTGGGGTGCACGCCCTCCCCCGCGGATTGAGTCCCGGGGTGCACGCCCTCCCCCGCGGATTGAGTCCCGGGGTGCACGCCCTACTGCCCCCGCCGGCTCAGCACCCCAGGCGCCCAGGCGCAGCCCCTGCGGGGCCCGGACCCCAGCGCTGGCGAGCGGCCCTGGCCCCGGGCTCGGACCCAGGTTGGCTCTGGTAATCCGGTTTCTAGGCTTGGGAAGAGCGAGGAGGAAAGAAATGAGGAGCAACTTTCTTAATGCAACACCTGAATGTTCTCAACTGGAAACATGAACAACAAAATACATCAACCTTATTTGAAAAAAAATATATATCGGTTGCTCAAGAAAAATTCATGGCTATAATGTGATCCCGTTAGAATGCTATATAAAGATATATTATTTCTACCGTGGGAGGAAAAAAAAGGCAACCTCCCACCCCCATGTCATGTAAAGAATCCTTGTGTATATAAGCATAAATATGGGAAATACAATCTTTGGATCAGGACTTTCAGTTCATTGTTTTACTTCAGAGTGTGTGTGTGTGTTTGTGTATGTGTGAACACATATTTCAGTTTAATATATTATTTTATTTCACTGTTTAGAATCTTAGTTTGCTTTTAACTTCCCCTCCGATGTAATTAGTGCTTTGAGCAACACTGCCTTCCACAGGATAAAAATAATAATGGCCCATTGTTTTTCACAGATGTGTTTTCTGATAGGGAAGACACTCCAATAATCGTGTCAATATATAGTCACCTCTAGCTATATGAATCATGTCTGGAGGATTTTTAAGTATTTGTGGTATTCAGGTTTCTCTTCCCAATCTCCCCTACTGGTGTCCCTCCCCCGGTTGCTCATAAGAACTTTCTCAGAATGACAATAATAGGCACAGTAAAACTGCTTACTCCTCAAGTTACTCCAGATACTATGGGAAGGTGAAGAATAAAGAAACGGGGAAACCGAGGGGACTTGGTCTGGGCACCCAAGACCTGGTCTTTCCGGGAATAAACTGGGGCAGAAAGGCGGTTTGCCCTGGCTGCCTGTTGTAATGGATGGCACTGAGCGGTGCTTGAATGCTTGAGCAGCAGTAAGCTGTCTGTGTGTGGTAATCAGACTCCTCCCTGCTGCAGTCACCCTTGTTTTATGGCCCCTACAGATTCCCCCCCACTGACCCAATTGTAACAGTTGGGAAAATGCCAACATACTTAACAGCAACCATATGGAAGACCCTCCAAAAGTGCACAGCAGGAGCTAAAGACGGGGCTTGTTCATTACAATAAAGATAAAATAGAAATATGTGGTGTTTAAACCCAGCACTCTAGTAGCTTGGTTCTCCCATAGTTTCAGATAGGCTGACATTTAAGCTGATACACAGGAGACTGTAGGCCAAACCTCAGTGCTGCATATTTGATATGCATATCACTTCTTATGTGAAAGGCACACACATGTTAATATAACTGAGATTTAAGACACCAAGAAGCCATAACTTACAAACAATATATTTTTCATTTGTTTAAAACCGCCACCTGCCCATACACACTCACTAAATCAACAAGATGCACATAAGCATAGTGGATAGAGAAAACATTGTAATGTCACTCTTTTTAAATCTCATTAAGAAATAATTAACTAATATACTATGATCACATCATTATGATCCAATACTTTTCTTCCAAATTGCTCAGACAGTGAAAAATATTTATTGCATACCTAATGACACATACCATGCTATTCTGGGGACATAGCAGGGAAAACACAAATGCAGTTTCTTCCCCCCTTTTCTCTTACCCACCTGCCTAACAGGTTTTCATCTTTTCTCATTCACTTGTTACAATTCTTAGACCCATTCCAATGTGCTCCCCCTCCCGCACTCTAAATAATTTCAGACACTAGTGGTGTATTGTAGAATCCAAATCAATCTGACACTATCTACCTGGAGATGGTATCAGGTTCCACAGGTTAAAGTCCCCAACCTCTCCCCCACCCCCCTTCAGAAGCCAACAGCAAGTCCAGGTTGTCACCTGGCAGATCAGCTATAAATCCGAGGTTCCCATCACCCCTTCCTTGGTTTTCATTAATTTGTTAGATCAGTTCACAGAGCTCAGGAACCCAGTTCACCCCCTAGATTACTGGTTTATTACAAAAGATATTGAAGGGTAAAAATCAAGAGCCAGAAAAAGAGATACATAGGGCAAGGTCCTGGAAGCAGAGCTTCTGTTTCCCTTGGAATTTGCGGCCCCGGCATGGTGGCACACGAAGCCGTCTGGTTCACCGACCTGGAAGCTCCGCCACCCCTGTTTTTTGGGTTTGCATTGCGTTGCACGTGTGACTGAATCATTAGCCAGTGGGGGCTAAACTGATTTCAGTTGCTCTCCCTTCTCCAGTGGTTGGGGAGATGGGACCGAGAATCCTAACCCTCTCAGCATGTGGTTGGTTCCCCTGGTGACCAGCTCCTATCCTTGGGTACTTTACGAAGTCCCTTGAGGTATTGTTGAGAGGGGTTTGTTATGAATTCAAGGCACCCTTTTAGCTCTTATAGCTTAAGAAATCCCAAGGGCTTCCGAAGCTCTTTCAGAAATGGGGACAAAGTCCAAATGTATATTTCTTATTACAAATCACAATATTACGCTTGTCCATCACAGAGAAGCAGGCTTCGTGTAAGAAAAAAGTTTTAGTTATAAAATCACAGGGATGTAATGTACAACATGGGGACTATAGGCAATAATACTATATTAACCCTGTATAGCGACAGATGATTAGACTTCTGGTGGTGACCTTTTCATAATGTATATAAATATTGGATCACTTTTGTTGTATGCCTGAAACTAATATAATATTGTATATCAATTAAAATGATATTATTAATAAAGTAATACTTTTGAAAAGAAAGAAAAAGAGCTCTTAAAACTAGAGCTGTTCTTAAATAGGATGTGTGCTGTGTGAGATAGTGAGCTCCTTGTCAAGAAAGAGTTCAAGCAGGAGCAGGTTGTTGTAGACAGGGCTCCTTTGATCTCACTCGTTTGTGGAATATAATGAACAACATAAACTGGTGAACAAAAATAGATCCAGAGACATAGAAACATCGAACAGACTGCCCAGCCTCAGAGGAAAGGTGGGAGGGGGGAAGGGTAGTGGAGGTAAGAGATCAACCAATGGACTTGTATGCATGCATATAAGCATAACCAATGAAGACACAGACAGTAGGGGGGTGAGGGCATGTGCTGGGGGGAGGGGACAGGTGGGGAAAGGTCATTGGGGGAAACATGAGGCATATATTGATATACTGTAATACCTTGAACAATAAAGAATTTTTAAAAAAGAGTCAAAGGCTTGATTGGAAGGTTCCTTTAAAGTCTAGAATTTTATTATGATTACTAGAGACCCAGTGCATGAAAATTCATGTACAGGGGGTGGGGGTGGGGGGTCTCTCAGTTCGGCCTGCCCCCTCTTACAGTGCAGGAGCCCTCAGGGGGTGTCCTACTGAAGGCTTAGACCTGCTCTCCACAGGGAACTGGCCTAAGTCACAGTCTGGCCTCCCTCTATGGGAGGCAACCAGGCTGATCAGGGGAAGGCGCCTCCCCCATCACCCCACTGCTGCTGCCACTGCCGGGACTCAGGGCTGCCTGGGCCCAAGGCTGCCTGTGCCCAAGGCCTCGCAGCCACTGTGGCTTTGTCCAGATGGATATCTGGATGGACGTCCGGAAGATGTCCACTGTAATTAGCATATTACCCTTTTATTAGTATAGATACATAGCTCAGGCCAAGTACCTTGGTGCATAGCCTTTCACCCCCTACAGATAATATTATCAAATCATGTTGGCTTCATCTTTAAAGATATGATAAAGCCAAAAATACATAGCATTTCACTATTTTGAATTGTCCTGATTTAGTAACCATCTCTCATCTGGATCATTCTTTCTCCTCTCTCATGCTGCCATTCTTTTCCCACTCCACTCTGGTGAGGAGAACAATCCTGTTAAATGTGAACCAAATCATGTTATTCTGTTTCTTAAAAAGATTTTTAAAAATATCAACATATTGTCTATACTTATGTCTGGACCACACACACCTGCGTGTGCGCGCGTGCACACACACACACACACACACACACACACACATCTGTTCTCCAGATTAAACTTCTGTTGTTCATCCATTAAATGTCCGAATTTTTACCATCCAGGTTGCTCACCTAATTATGTCCCTTCATTATGTGTCTCAGGTGAAACATAACTGTTTAGATTCTATCATAGAATTATGCCCTCGATTACCTCCTTGTTCTGTACACTGTTTCTGACAGCACTCTCTTTGATTGTATTAGCATATTTGACTATCATATTCTATCATATTCTTTGAATCATCTAAATGTTTAGTCAAGTAAAATTTTTATACATTAAAAAAATGTAAATTCCTACTCAGTCTTCCCC